CCTTTTATCCGGTACCTTGAACCATGGATCAGAGAGCGAAGGCTATTAGTCGTTATTCAAGCAGGTAAAACTTGATGCCTCCTTTCATACATGTCTAAACAAACTTAACATGAAAAAACATTACAAAGACATACATGCGGACAGCAAAGAGAAGAATTAGTGGACAGCAGAATTAACGTGTCTATGATCATGGTTACAACTTGTTGTGGCATTGTCAAAAATAATATCTGCCTTTTCTGAAACTTCGCCCGATTTTAGAGCATTCTAAACTGTTTCATGACTCGAACTAACGAATCATGAATTCTGCAGTTTATCGTCAGTATGGAATTTGCATAAACATCATAAGAATATACAAAGTATATATTGCAGAAAGTAACTTACTCGTTCCAGGCAAACGTTACGTAAGACCGGTTTACAGCGGTCAACTTGCAAAAGAAATCCAACACTGACTTTTGACTGTCCATGGCTTGGCCTTTGGCTAAAAATGGCACTTCTGTAGAAAAGCTTAGGCGAGACAATTTTAAATTCAAACGGTCACATGTATTTACTCGTATTGCAAAGCGAGACGCTTAATAACAATTCATAAAGTCATGCACTACAGACTAAAATAGGCAGAACCGTAAATTTCTTCGTATGTTTAGCAGTGTCACATGAGAAAACTGCATACACATTCTGCAGTAAAGCAGCAGCTACGTAGATAATTCCGAGCAACTAGTAAAAGGCGAGTAGTATTATGTTGATTGCACCGTGTAAGTAAACCTTTTCTGGCAGAGGTACTCCGAGACAACATAAAATGTCGTTGACTTCACCCAGAGCTTGACCGCTACACTGAGTCATTAACGCTCCATCTTTCACAAAATGTCATTAAATAGGTGGCCGTTGATCGACAAAGCTACGGTTCAAAGCAGCACTTAGTAATAAGTACACAAATCTAATCATAAACTAATATTAACAGCATATGAATAACTAAATTGTAAAGAATTTGTACATCATATCACAGCATAACTATACTACTTACGATGCAGCACAATAATTGATCCAAAGGTTATTTAGATCAGTCATGGATGATAAATAAATAGCCATTAAATAATCAATAATAAACACAAACGGTCATCGAGCCACAACTTATTTTTGCAGTCAGTTAGAATAAAGTAAGAGTACTTATAATAAATAGTATAAGACTTATTAAAAAAAACACTTAAATTATCCAGAGATAAACAACTATGAATAACTACATTTTTCGGCGCAACGATGATAATAACTAAATGATCGCCAAAGATGTACAAATACAATAAAATCTCATATTGCCCTGCATAAATACGGTCAAGAGGTCGCCACTGAAAAGAGAGAACAACGACTAGGG